GAAGGATATTGAGGTGCTGGAGCGGGTCCAGAGAAGAGCAACGAGGCTGGTGAAGGGACTTGAGCACAAGTCCTATGAGGAGAGGCTGAGGGAGCTGGGGTTGTTTAGTCTGGAGAAGAGAAGGCTTAGAGGTGACCTCATCACTCTCTTCAACTACCTGAAGGGAGGTTATAGCCAGGTGGGGGTTGGCCTCTTCTCCCAGGCAACCAACAATAGGACAAGAGGACATGGGCTCAAGCTCTGCCAGGGGAGGTTTAGGTTAGATGTTAGGAAGAAATTCTTTACAGAGAGGGTAATCAAGCATTGGAACAGCCTACTCAGAGCGGTGGTGGACTCACCATCCCTGGAGGTTTTTAAGCAGAGATTGGATGTGGCCCTTAGTGCCATGTTATAGTAATTGGAGTTGGATCAGGGGTTGGACTTGATGATCTTGGAGGTCTTTTCCAACCCAATCTATTCTATGATTCTGTGATTCTATGATTAAATCACACACAGTGAGACAGAATGGACAAGAGAGAGAGCGAGAGAGAGTTTATTTCAGGGGATCAACTAGCTTATATGTGGTAGAACGTGGAATGTGTGGAATTTGGGAGGATTTTTTAGGGAGTTTCATGAAAGGAGATGTCTATAAATGGAGAAATTAAGCTAAACACATCCTAATATGGGTGAGAAAGATGGAAAAGCTATAAATTTTAACCAACAGGGCCAATGAGCATAGGGGTTACAATCAGCAGATAGGGACAGAGTTAACCATAATTGAAACTGCAGGTTACATACAAGGCAGGATTTTTTCTAACAACATTGTTACTAAATTGAAAAAGCATAACACTTTTATAACATGAAAAGCAGTCTCTGAGGTAGGAAGTTATCTGTTGTCCAGTAGTTTAGCTGCATTCCAAAGCTGTCTTCTCTTCAGTTCTCCCTTTCTTCAGAGATTTTTCTCCACCAAGAATATATTTCTTGCGGTGAACCTCCAACAGTCCATGGCTTTTCTCTGCACAACTGCTTCCTGGTTTAGCATTGCAGCTAAGCAAGTTCAGAAATACACCTGATTCTGTCTGTAGTGACTCTACAGTTACCCTGTCTGTAATGAGTCTGGTACATGCTTGCATTGTATCCCCATTTTTTTATGTGCTATGCAGAGAGATATGAGCTGGACTAATGGATCTTGCTAGGATTCTGCAGTATGCTTAGTCTATAATGCTCTCTCATGCTTCACTAGTGGTTACAATATTAGTATTGCCAGTCTGCCTATTTGGTGAAGTTGTTCAGGACTGAAGGAGGGTGAAATCTGTAACAATGAGAATGAGTAAGCATCCTATGTTTTGGGTTTTTGGTTCAACTGGATCTCCTTGATCTATGTATTTCATGCCCTTGTTTTATGTGATAACTACATGGAGGTTTTTAGTTTTGTTGCGAATGGAGTGATGCACTTCACTCCTAAGAAAGAAATAACAGTATACTTTTAAAACAATGAGTTAAGAGTTCAAAGGTAAATGCAACAGTGGTTTAACAAGATTTGATGGCAAGGTACAGTTGCTTTTTTACTGCATAGAGGACAGGGTCAGACAGAATTGTCAGGGAGACCTTTCTGTTGAGTCATAAAGTTCAGAAAGGGCCCCCTTGTGTTCTAAACTCCTTCTCAGAGAGGAGTCTAGATGTGGTTGGATCCAATCCTGGTTTCACACTTGGTGGATGCTTTATGTCTAAGGGATTATATGTGCAATACCAATCCTTTATATCACTTAGCTAACATTTCAAAGTTTAGCATGCTGGTAATCACTTACAGAGGATCTATTGCGACAAGGAGTCTCTCAACTTCAAGGAATAACCTTGAGAGGCCTCTCTACTCAAGGGGAGAACCTGACATACAGCTTGCTGCCATGCAGGAGAGCTCAGTGGGTCCTGGGCTGTCTGCTATTTATAAAGGAAGCTGGATGTAACCATCACAACCTCCATTAGTGGTTATGGCTTAATCAGAGGTGGAAGGGGAGAAGCACACTGTCACAATTCTGACTTATAAACATAATAGGAATTGAGAGGTTCAAATATTTGTGTTAAGTCTTAAAGTTGTTCCAGAATTTTGTTGTTCTGATCTTCAAAGCAACTATGTGTCTGACCTAAATGTATTATGACTGGTATCTTGTGATTATTATGTTTGGTTTGTTTTTTTATTAAGACATCTTTTTTTTGGTGGAATTTACTCCTTCAGATGTTTATAACCACTGTTGAAATATATCTTAGGTCCTAAATTTGTGAGACAAAGCAAGCTTAAGTAGTTTTCTTTTACTTCTTTTTGTCCCTGATCGCTGTAATAGTTCATTATTGCACTAAGTAAAAGTTTAAATTTCTGTGCTGTTATTCTACATGTGATTTTACTAGTATCTTTTCCTCTGGTGATTTAAAAAAGAAAAATGTAGTACTGCAGGAAAAAATGACTATACTGTTTAAGATTTTATTTCTTCTTTTACTTTGATAAGCACAAGCTAAACTCAATAGTTATTTTAGATCTATTTTTTTGGGGATTTGATTCCTAACCTTTTTGCAGAAGTCTTGACTTCCAGTTCATGCAGTGGCTTTCTGGTTCCCTTTTCTCAGCGTATTACCTCTTTTTCTAAAACAGAGGCAAGATATTAAATTTTCTTGAATGTTCTTTGGATGAGACAAATAAGTTTATTTTAAAAAGTGTTTCCAGATGCTTTAAAACTGGTTACAAATACTTTATCACAAAAGGATCTTATTGACTCAACCATAAAAAAACCCCAATCTTTTTTGGATTTTTGGTTCAGTGTTCTTATTTCAGCTGCTTGTGTGGTTTGAAGTAGGTGACTGACTTATATTATGACAAATTTTATCTAAATGTATGGACTATGTGAGACTTTTTTTTTCTGAAGTCACTATGCAAAGGAAGGAGAAAAAACTTGCTGTAGTCTGTTCACAAATTATTTTCTATTAATTTAGCATCACTTGTATAGGTTCATCTGTAAAGATAGACACTTTTTCTGTTTCTATATCATTGCTGAGCATGTTTAATCAGTAAAAATGAACTTGGTTCCTGTTAGAAAGAAGAACCGTTTTTGTGATGGTTCTGTGACTAGAACTTCCTTTGTTTATTTAAACTAGTCTGACATAATTGGATTATTTAGAAAATCTCTCTGGAATTTCTTTTGAAATTAATTTAGAAGAGACTCTTGGATGACTTCAGTAGAGTAATTTATAACAAGTTACTTGGGTGACACATACTTTTAAACTTGTCTCCATTTAATGATAGCAGATTTTGTGCATCTTACCTTATAGTTTAACTCTGGTATCAGAGGTACCTAAAAAGTTTTGTATGAGCTCACTACATAAAAAGGAACCAGCAATTCTACCAAGTAGTGAAGTTTAATGCTTACGAATCTGCTACACTTCCTTTTGGAAGTTGGAACATTTTCCTCTGTTACTGGAAGTCTGCAGTAGTGCACTTCAGGCCAGAATAGAACAACAATTATCAGGTTTGGATTACACAGCTCTTATTAAAATTTACTCAAATTACAGCAGCTTTAGATTAAAGTGAACTACATCTGTGTTCACTAACAGATCTGCATTCTGTTGTGCAGAGATGTGGAATATGTGTTTATTTGGGTCTCCCTGTGAAATGCATGTGGTTGTTAATTGTTTTCACTAGCTGAATTTTTAAGTGTGTATATCATACTTAAGATACTTTTGAGTCATTGACAATTTTGCTGTATCTAGATGCAGAGCATGATTCTTTTATACCCTTGTAATTTAGGCAGTTTCATCCATTTCTTTCTGTGCTATTGCTCAGCTTCAAGTAATACAGTTTTCATCATCTTGCATTCTCTTGCTTATTGAGATGTTTTCTCACCTGTGGAGAGAGCATGGGGTAGGAAAAATGCTCTTGGGTTTTCTCTTAAACCATTATAACCCTGAGGTTAGCTCAGTTGGTTAGAGCATGGTGCTAATAACACCAAGGTTGTGGGTTTGAACCCTGTATGGGCCATTCACTTGAGAGTTGGACTCAATGATCCTTGTGGGTCCCTTTGATGCCGAAAAACCTTGGAATAATTAACTGTTTAGAGACTTTGCATCTATAAGCAGCAAGGTATTTGTTTATTCAACGTTGGGAGCAAACCAGCTCTCGCTGGACAAACTTGATTGGCTAGAAAGTGCAAATGCAAACCATTTTAGATACAGGTTTACATCATCTAACATACATATTAATAAGCAGGCTAGTCCCTGGGCGGAGTCTTTCCAGAATCTTTTTGGACGTGCAGTCTTCTACTGTAGGGGTCTTCTCCTCGAGCCTTCATCCATCTGGTGGTCACCACGGACATCTTCCTCGATTTGACCTCTTCCAGTTAGGTGACCTGAATTCTTCAAGCTTGCGAAATCCTGGCTCTGGACCTTCTATATCTTATTCAAACGTCTAGTTTAACTAATTTATTACCTTGTGTATACTACTCCTATTCTTTCTATAATAAGGACTTTGATCCAGTGAGTAGAACAGAACATGATATTAACCAGTGCTCCTAAAATGTTCTTCTAACAAAACAGGTAGAGCAAACAGGACAGGGTATACCAGCTGAACTATTGTTAACTCTTTTTTTGTGCCTTTTTGCCATCACCTTCCAACTCAGAATATTCTGTGAAATTATCTTCTCTTGCTCGTTTTCAAACTAGAGAATTTAACGGGATTTTGGATAGTATTTCTGGACATGTAAACACCATTTTCATTAAATCTAGAGAAAATATGAGGTGTGTGGTGGTTCTGAGCATCTAGTCTTTTATTAAGGAACTTTAATTATGACCTCTAAGATTAACTTTTAGGGACTAACTTGAAAAATCAGCTTCTTCTAGTAAGCTAATGAAATAGCTCCTGCAATCTATTCTAGATAGCACTGGAAAATATTTCAGAAAGCTAATTTTGCCACCTCTTTCTGGTTAGACCTTATGCAAGATAAGAGGAAATAAAGGACTGAATGTTACAGTTGTATTTTCATGATACCTGTGATATCTTTGATTAGTATGACACTTTGATAATAAAAGTGCAGATGTGATGCTATAAATGAGATGAGACTAGTTAAATTCTAAAAACAGAATCATTAAGGTTGGAAAGGACTTTCAAGATCGAGTCCAACCTTTGACAGAGTACCAACATGCCCACTAAACCATATCACAAAGTGCCATGCCATCTTTTTTTGAACATTTCCAGGGATGGTGACTCCACCATTTCCCTGGCCAGCCTGTTCCAATGCTTAACCACTCTTTCAGTGAAGAAATTTTCCTTAATATCTGATCTGAACCTCCCTGTCACAGTTTGAGGCCATTTCCTCTTGTCCTCTCACTAGTTGCCTGGAAAAAGAGGCTGACACCCACCTTGCTACACAACCTCCTTTCAGGTAGTTGTAGAGAGTGATAAGTTCTTCCCTGAGCCTTCTTTTCTCCAGACTGAACACCCCCAGCTACCTCAGTTGCTCCTCATAGGACTTATGTTCCAGTCCCTTCACCAGCTCCATTGCCCTTCTCTGGACACACTCCAGTGCCTCAGTGTCCTTGTAGTGAGGGGCCCAAAACTGGGCACAGTACTCGAAGTGTGGCCTCACCTTTCCTGGTCCTGCTGGCCACAGTATTTCTGATACAGGCCAGGATGCCATTGGCATTCTTGGTCACCTGGGCACAAGCTGGCTCATGTTAAAGCTCTGTCTGAGAAAATAATAATAGAAAACAGAATGGAAATAATGATCAAAACACCACAAGTGTAATCCTCTTGTAAGATAAGCATCTGAAAAGTACTCATTTCTTGGTTTGTTCTTATTACAGGGACTTGCCATGAGGTGCTGAAGCCATTTTATTTGATTCAGAGAGACTGGACCTAAATGGCGCAGCATGACTTTGCTCCAGCCTGGCTTAATTTTTCTACTCCGCCATCAACAAAGGTATGTTCTTCGCTATTCTTTTGACCAGGCAGTCTTGTTATTAGAGAAATCTAAATGTCATAACCTCAATCATAGTAACAATACAAATCTCTTTATGAAAATGTGAAGGGTGATAACAGATGTTATTTAGCAAGTCTTGCTGTCATGATTTAAGTAGTTGGACCTTGGTTGTCAAGCTTGTACCTCTGGTAGGGGAGTTCCTGTAAAGAAGTATGTGCCTGGACGTGTTGTCAGAGCTGTTGGATTAAGATTGCCTTCATTGGGAGTTTAAAATCAATTATAGTATTTTGTACTAGAAGAAACAAGGCAGAGGCATGTGCTTAATGTTTTTGCTTCTGATTTTGCTCTATGTCCTATACATTTTACAGAAGTGTTATTCTATTATCCAAGTGATAAAAAAGTGCTTTTGAAATAGACCTTCTGAAATGGCTCCTCAGTTGCTGGCAGGATGCTTGCTACTACTGGTAGTGTGTGGCGCTTTCAAATAGTTGTGCATTCTCGCTATGGTGGTTTCATCTAGACTACTTTTACTCACTTTATGCAATGGGGCAGCTTGGAAACAAGAAATAGCAATCTCTGAATTATTAGGATTTGTAAGTATTCTAGGAAGTCTTGAACATGTCTATCTCACAAATGTTTCCTTTTCTGGACTATCCTACTCTTTCTTAATTTGTGTGACTGCAGAAGCAGAGGCAGCACTGGATATTTCAAACTCCTGTAATCTGTTTTATTTCCCTGTTTGTAGAGCTGTTGTCTTCATTATAATATCTGCAGCTATGAGAGTGGCATTGCCTTGCTTTGATGTATTTATGTAAGTTTCTTGCTGTCTTTCATGTCCATGGAAAATGTTTAGCCTTTATAAAGTTATGGAAATAGGCTTGTACTATTGTTCAATGCACAGTCAGCTGTCAGTGTGTGTTCCCATTGCTTTACTTTTATATGTCTGTACACATGCATGCATTGAATGTCCTTATTTATTATATTGCTCTATTCAACTTTCTTCTGCACTGATCTATCTAGCTTCTTTTGTTTAGTATAGTCTGTCAGCAACTGTCAATTGCTGTTCTGGGAACATCAGGCCTATCTCTTTCAGAATGGTTCCTGTGATCTATTTGTTTTCATTCTACTTGATTTCTGAGATATTCAGCTCTTCTGATCTGCTTTTTCCAATTTAAATACATTTTCAATCAGAAAAGTAATTAGAGCTTAGCTTAACATGGTGTCACAATTGCAAAACAATCTTTTTCCATGTATTTCAAGAATCTGCTGGAAGAGCTTTACCTGCATATTTAAAGTGTCAATATAGCCAGATAAAAATAAGTTCTAGCCCTTCCTCAGTACTACTCAACTATATCTGGTGTGTGGGTTGTATTTGTGTCATGGGTTTATGTGGCTGGGTTTTTGGTAGCGGGTGGGGCTATAGGGGTGGCTTCACTTAGAAGCTGCTAGAAGCTTCCCCTGTCCTATGAGGAGTCAATGATAGCCAGCTCCATGACAGACTTCCTGGTGCAGGCTAAGGCTGAGCCAATTAGAAGTGATAATATAATGCTTCTGTGATAACATATTTAAGAACAGAGGACTGTTGCGCAGAAGAAATTCCAGCCGGAGAAGAGAGGATTGAGAACATGGGATAACAATGCAAACTCCAAGGTTAGTGCAGCGGGGGGGGAGGAGGGGCCCAGGGGCCCCCCCTCCCCCTCCAACAGGGGAAAGACTGAGAGCGGAGGCCCCTGATGCCTGTAGAAGACCATTGGGGTGCAGAGACCCCCCTGCAGCCCATGAAGGAGCCCATGCTGGAGCATGAGGAGGCTGTGACCCCGTGGGAGGCTCAAGATGGAGCAGGGTCCTGCAGGAGACCTGTGGCCTGTGGAGACAGAAACCTCTTGGGGTAGGCAGCGGGTCTGCAGACCCCCTGATGAAGGATACGGAGGAGGAGGATTTTGACTTAGACATTTTGAAACCGTTTCCCTGAGGAATTCACAGGAGCCGTGAAAGACTTGAGAAGGTGCCAGTGAGAGAAGGATGTAAATAAGGAGTGAATATCCAATTATGTGTAAAGACTAGTAATAAACTATAGATAGGGAGTTAATAATAGAAAGGCATGTAAGGTTCTGTTTGCAGTGTGTGTGTGAAAAAAGAAATTATTAGGCTGTATGAAGCAATAAAGCTGACTGTCGGATCATCATCATATATGGTGCCTGGTTTTTATTTTTTTGCCATCCTAACTACTACAACAGAAACCCACACTGGAGCAGGTTTTCCCTGGGTAGGACTTGTGGCCCCTGTGGGGGACACACATCAGTGCAGCTCATCTGTGAAGGACTGACCCCATGGAGGATTGACCCACGGGACAGCAGATTGGGAAGAACTGCTGCCCGAGGGGTGGACTCACACTGGAGAGGTCCATCAAGGACTGTCTCCTGTTGGAGGTACCCCACAGAAGCAGAGGAAGGACTCAGAGATGTGCCCGCCCCCCCCCCCCCCCATCCCCTGTAACTCGTGGTGAAGACCATAGTGATGCAGGTTGTCCCCCTGCAGCCTATGGAGGACCATCGGGGTGCAGAGACCTGACCACTCCCCATGGAGGAATAACCCACAGGACAGCAGATTGGGAAGAACTGCTGTCTGAGGGGTGGACTCAAAATGATTGCAAATCCCCTTCCCTGTCCCCCTGCACTGCTGGGGGGGAAAGAGGGAGAGTTGAGAAGGAAGGAGGGGTGGGGGGAAGGTGTTTTAAAACTGTAATTTCTCACTCCTAGTTCTTATCCTGTTAGTAATAAATTTAAGTTCTATCCCCATGGTTTGCCCATGAAATTAATCTGTAAATGACTTCTTCCAGTGCTTATCTCTACTCAGGAATCCTTAGCTGTTTTTTTTTCTCTCCTCTGCTAATTTGCAGAGGGAGGGTGATAGTGGTTTTTAGTGGGCCCCTGGCATCTGACCAGGGTTAAACCTCTACAATTTGTCACCTCATGCCTCAATTGTGGGAAATTTCATTGCAAGTATATGTTGTGGATCCTGTTTTCTTCCACAAATCTTTGCCTCAAGGAGTTTAGATAGACTTACTTTCATCTCTTGCAAAAACTCTTTAGTTGTATGCTTTCTCCATTATAGTCTTTGTCCTTCATTGTTTGAAATGCAGCTTATTTCCTTGTATTACCTCTTCTCTCAGTGATCAGCATTGTGTGATATAGAGCACATTTGGATAATAAACACTTGAAAAGTCTTTTGGTCCTACCCAGTATGTAGTAGTTCCTAGTTTATGGAATATAGCTTATTCTAACATTCCTCTACAGTAGAGGTCTCAAATGTTGTGCCCTTCCCTTCTGCTCCCTGTCCTCTCTATTTCCTAGGATAGATGTTTATTTCTGCTTCTCATATCTCAGTGTGACAGCTGCCAAAAGGGAAGAGCAGGTAAAAGGGATGAAGAAGAAGGGGTTGAGGAAGGCAGTGTCTCATGCTTCATGCAGAATGGAGCTGGGATTAGGCTATGGTATCAGCAACATTTAAACCTGAGAAGGACAAACTGAACTCTGCCCAGTCAGTTTTTATTTCCCTCAAAGGCACTTGTAGGAATTGTGTCTTTACAAGTTTAGTTTCCCCCTCAATCCTGAGTAGTTGAGGCTTTCCCTTACTTAGGTAAAGGCTAGCATTAGAAAGACCTGATGCCAGGAAGCTGGGATCATGAAAGAGTTTTCTTAATGTGACTGATTACAGCTTAAATGAAATCCATCTTGTCTATTGCTGTTGATTTCCTCTTAAAGATAAGCTTTTATATTATCTCCCTATCACTTACGTGGCAAAGACAACTGAGATAGCTGGATATCCATTGCTCAGTAGCTTTAGTTTGGGTCTGAAACTAATATATTTGCATCAATGCAGTATTGCGGTTGAGCAGGTGAAAGTGGGAAAGCTTTGTAAATAGTGAAGCTATCTTGGGATATGGATGAAATTTTAAAAAAGAATTGCTGTAAAATGTGTATGGGCAAATTGCAGATTGGTAAATGTAGTTTTTGCAATTTTGCTGTTACTTCATATTAAGCAATAAGACTTCTTATACTTCAAAAATTTGTGTTACTTTCTTTTTTGGCTGATTGTATCAAGTCAGATAATTTCTCAACTTCCAGAAATTGCTAATAGATTTCCTGTTGATTACAAGAACCTTGATAAACTAATACCTTCATCATATGGGGAAAATGCAAACTGCATGACCTTTGCATGCAATTTAGAGACTTTAGATGCATTATATCAAATACAACTCAAACACTATATATAAAGTGCTGTCAGTTATAGCCTGTGAAAATGTTCTTGTTCTTCAAAGTTCATACAAGAAAAAAGTTAAACTCCAAAGGCAACATTAGAATGGTGTTGTATGTAAATGAACATGTGAAGCTAACTTCTAAAATTTCATCTATGATCAACAGATCTGGAGCTTTCAGAAACTTTTGGTAGTTTATTCAGTTTGTTTATAACGAATTATTTTTTTGTTAACTACTTGGATCTTTTGATAATTTCTTGTGGTTTTCTGTTTTTTTCTCTCCAAGTTTGTCAAGGAAAAAATTCACAGGTCTTAAATTGAGAGGGAAATCCCTTTTCATTTGATTTCTATATGGTTTGGAAATACATATCTATTACTTACTCAAGTTTGAATTTTAAGCACTGGATTTTGAACAGCACTTTGAGTTCCACTTAGGGGAATTGTCCTTAGAACTTAGGTGTCATTTTTTGTGTGATTGTCTCAACATATTTTCCAAAGTAGTTAAATCAGTTACTATTACTGTGATTTCTTTTTTTCTTTTTTTTTTCCCTTCTCAGTTTGACCAGTGGATATTAATATGACTTCTTTAGACATTAATGGATAATAACTGTTGAAATAAACTTGAGGCTTTCATTTTCAAACATGCACCATTACCGCTATGCTTTTTTTTTTTCCTTTGACTATTACTCAGTCTGGAGACAGAGCCAGCTTCAGGCAGCTAAGTTGATACTTTTCGTGCAGTCAAGTTTATACTCCCTGGAATCACTAAACTTACTTTGCTCACATAATACATTTTGACATTTATGTACATTTATGCATTTGTAGCTATTATGGCCCTGAGAAGTATTGGATCTCTTGTACATGTGCAATACAATGGACATGTGCTCAGTATGTGGTGGAGGGAAGGGGGCTTTGCTTCATCTGTGTCAAAGGTTGGCTATATAAGCAGGGAGGTACTGGGTAATGCAGCTTTTTGCTATCAGTGGGGTATGTGTGGCATGTGCAGCAGTAAGGCTAAACACTATTTTTGCAGAATGAAAATTTATTGAATTTTTAAGGTGTAACTGTGGAAGAAATGTTATAGTATTAAAACAGTAAAGCCAGATAGTAGTAATAAGGAAGACAGCTGCTGTAAGACATGATCCTTTTTTGGTTTAATCTCCTTAGGTATGAGTTCTAGTCAGGATTTGTTTGGATTTCTCAGTGCTATTCTCAACATAAGGTTTTAGTTTAATCATGGCTAGGCTTTGCAAATGAAGATTTTAGTTTAATATACCAATAGAAAGAACTTTATAAAGATTTAGTTCTCTAAAATTTCTACCATGCCTACTTTATAATCTCATAATTTGAAGTATATTTGTGAATCTGTACACTTTTGACTCTAGATTTTACTTGTATTTCATAACTAGTTGTATTTGCCTTATTAAATTGTAATGACACAGCTAATTAACTGGGTCTTTTTTGGGTACAGCTGTCTGGTGGAAACAACTCTTTGCTTTCTATGCAATACATATATAGTCTGTAACTACTCTAAGATCCCAGACTTCTTTCCTGCCTTCCAAACTGTGATCTTGTATCCTTTGTTACCATTTTTTTATTTTTCCTCTGCTGCCACATGTTCCTTGTGCTCTGTTCTGCTGCCAAACCAAATGCTTGGGATTTTTACTTTGTGTAACAAACATGGTCCTCAGCACTGTTTCAGTGTCCTGGAACAGAAGATATAGCTTCTGTTAGCATGGGAGATGATGAATTGCTGTATGGTCTGCCATTCATAGTCCTTCTAAAAATGGATTGTATATATCACAAGTAATGTACATATTACAGTTTTGATAATTCGGTTTTGTTATTAATCAGATATCTCAGGTCTACCACTTGTGCTCCTTTACAGTCATCACTGAACTTTGAGAAACATTCTGAAAATTTTCTGTGGACAGACAATCATTATGAAGCAAATCGCAGAAGACACAACTCTTCAGATGGGTTTGATCCTAACATTGGATGGCCTAATGGAGGTATAATTTAGTTTTCATGGAACATTTTAAACATGTTTACATTGTTGCTGTCCTATGCCAAATGCTGTATTCTATAGTAGAATAGAGGTAATGGAAAGATAGATCTTCTGGGAGATGATGTGATGACTAAGAGTTGGTTAAAGTAGTGTGATTCCAGGTGTATTTCTCTCTGAAGAAGGTGGTTAATTCTCTAGCTAACAATATAAAAATGAATAGCCAGAAAAAGGGTTTGACTTCTTAATGTTGGATTACTATTCTATTTCTTTGGCACTGTTTTGTGAGATTCTTCTTCCCTGCTGATTATGTAAATGAAAACTCAATTTACTAAACTGTCACATCCCAGAGTGTAGAGCTGCTTGCTTAATTTCTCTACCAATTTTACAGAAGTAGAACGTTCTTTCAAAACCATTAATAATTACATTTATTTAAAATTTTAAAACCTAAGGGCATTTTGGGAGAAAAGAGAAGAATGGTTGGCGTTCACAAGGCAGAAACAATACAGAAGATATAAACCATCATGGGGGATACCATTGCAGAGGTTCCCGCACTTGTACCAGCACTTTCCACTGTGGAAAAGGCCAAGGACTGCATGAAAGCAATGTATGTGATAATGAAACTGGGAAAAAGGAAGACAAGGAAGTACCCAAACAGTTTGAGGCTGAGGATTTTGTAAGTTAATTGTAATTATAATAAACAAAGTTTCATTGTTTTTGCACCATTTTGTCCATTGCAAGCTACTTCATGAGATTTCACCAGTTACAGATCATCATATAAGGGATCACCCTTGCCATAGGTAAGAGGGTGTTAGTCATTTGTCCACTAACTTGTTTCTCTTTCTATATCCAGGTTTTATCATTATTATTTTGTTATTGTCACTTAAGTGTTGAAGGGAAACTATAATTGGGTTCTAAGTTTATTTCATATCTTACCATAGTTTACTGTGGCATTAAATTCTACACAAGTACCTTACTGGAAATCTGAAGTACTAACAAAATGATCTTTCTACCACTGGCCATTTGAGGTTCCATTCTTCAACCTAAAATTGTAGGATGTAAGGGGAAGGGTGAGCTTCCTCTTTGAAGAATCATACATCACTGTGTTTTGCTTTCTTTGGACAGTTCGTATAATGGTATTGACTGCTTTTTGAGATGTTTTGTTGGAGAAGAGGAAACAACTGGGTGTTGATCTATTTGGGTTGCAGGGAGAAGTGTCTAGTCTGTCTCTGTTTAAAAGTCTTTGACAGCAGAGGTCATACTTCCAACATTATTGTGTTTCTATATTTCATTGTTCTCACAATTCAAGACTTATTAATAAATTGTATTTAATAATGACAAATCTTCCTTTCAGCCATCTTTGAATCCTGAATATGAGAGCACACCAAACCAGAATAATTCTTTAGCTGCAGGTGCTTGGGGTGAGTATTTTTGATGTTCCTAAATATAAGAAAGTAGCAGAGATCTGAAGTTGTTTAATTTGTAACATAGAAATTTTTTTTAGAATATTACACAGATTGAAATTGGAAACTTCAATATTATTACAATGTAAGTATCTTTTTGTTAGAGAGGTGACACTTCTATTTGGATATTAATCTGTTACCCCAAATGGGATTCTTTCCATCTGTAAAGATGTCAAGAATTTATCATCTCCCAGGAGAAAATGCAATGAAGATGGGTTACCTAAACTAGTGATGGGATTGCTAGCTGAAGAATTGG